TGATTCAGTAAGGACATCTCCTGGTTTCATCTTCATGTTTCCCTCTCACCAGATATCCAAACCGATATCATGACCAGCAGCTTTACAGCTGTGGCTCCAGCAAACATCAGCTGATACTAGAAATTAATATTAAATAAATTCTAACAACAGCTGATCAAGCTTAAACGTGCTGCTGTTGTTTAGCGCGACATCCGCTGGTTTCCTCTTTCTGGCGCAAAGTGGGCGATAAACAAACAAGAGAGACGATCAGCTGATCATTGATCAGTTTCATGATTGAAGTAGCAATAGAAGAGGGGGGGAGATAAGAGAAGAGGCAGCTGTAAAGACAGAATAACTCAGATCTCTCTCTTTCCACCACAAACTACATTCATCCACAAAAACTGGTCTTTGGAAAGATAGACTCTGAAAAAAAATCTAGCTAAATTATACAGTGACTGGGGGGAAGAGACATGTGACATTAAATGTCACACCTCCAAGAGTAGCAGCACTCAGAGGATTTATGGAAACAACTGTGCTAAGCATGGCTCTCCAAATCACTGCTCCATCCTGCTAACCACCCTGGAAAAAAACGGCTGCCTGCTTTTGCCAATGTCAAGCAGCAAGCCACCGACCACAGACTTCCTGTGGCTTCATCGCGATCAAACTCAATAAACTACTTGGTACATAAGTAACAGCAGCAGAGAAGAGAACAACTTCGCCCAAACTACTTTGATAAAACGAGACAAATGTCCTATTATTTTATAATATGTAAATCTGAAATTTAAAAAATGAAACAATATGGAATGTAAGGGGTTATAAATAACCAATAATTATCTAAAACATAATAATAGCAACAACAACAATATAATTTTACACAAGAAAATCTGCAGCCCAATACATGTACTACTTAGGTGGTAACCAACAGACACCGCACGATGTTATCACATTACTTAATTAATGATACGATACAATGACAATTTTTAACATTTTTCAGCATGCTGAGTACTGCAGTAACATATATATTCTGATTTATGGCCGTTTTTCAACTCAAAGTTAAATAAAGCAGGCGGCCATGAAATTAAAAGTTAACACAATTAAGTACACTTTAGTTATTATTTTTTGCTGCAAAATGAGATTGTCAAGCACACCAACACTGTCAGTGAAGCCTGGCCATAAATGGTGCCAAAAAGACCGAGTCAGCATGCTATCAGCCTGTGACTGAATGGGATCAAGCAAGCAATTACATCCAATCAGTTTCTGATAATAAAGTAATTAGCTGTGATGAATCATCAAAAAATGCTGTCTACATAGGAAGAAATTCACATATAATTATTAAAGTTGGTCTCAGTAACCTTCCTGATCTACAGGAATATCACCAGAATACAATCAACTGGCAGCCAGTTAAGCCGAGTCCCCTTGAGTTGTGCTCATTGACAAAGACTCATTCAGACTGTCTGTCTGCATTTATAAATTACACAGCAATTATTTATGAGCCTCTAACAATCTCTGAGAGCGACTGCAGTGAGTCCAAGTCCAACTGTGAGTGTTTGCTGGTCTGTCTCTCTGTGCTGGCCCTGCGATACAACCTGTTTAGGGTCTAGTTTGCCTCTCACACTGCGACAGCTGGGATAGATCCACCCCTAACGCTGACCTCAGTGGATAAGTGGTTAAGAAAATGAATGGATTAAATGATACATAAACACACTATTCTGTTTTTATTTACAGAGATGGAGATGTATTTATTTCCCAGACACAAAGGAGGAAATAAATAGCAACAACCCCCTCCCCCTCCAAATCAATCATCAGCCAAATTGTTATTTTAATCACCCATGAACACCACATCTCCAGTTAGAAGTTCTCTTAAAATACAGTACAATACACCTATTAATGGCCAGACCTCCCTACTATTATACATACTGTTATAAAAAATGCCCAATAAATATCAAACCGAAGTCCTTGAACTATACTATTATAAAAGGGGTAGATCTGTTACATTAAAGTGACAGCTAAATGACACAATGCTCAACAGGTACTAGGGGTTGAGTGGATAAAGTTCGTCTCACTCTAAATGTCAATTTTACACAGGTCATTAGGTTCAGATATAATAAGGACAAGGCTTGTTTTAGGCTCATTCATAACAACCCACAAACACAAGAATAACACTCTAAGGCAGTGTAACTGTCATATGATCCTGCTGAAACTGATGAAGTGATCACTTTCCTCCCAAGTCTGCTAACTTTGCAAGATGTTTGTTGTGTCAATGAGCAAACAGTTGGATCTTCACTGTAAAATGCCAGCAATTCGTCTTTTCTGCTATCAGACGAGACTGTTTAACTAAGCCTTATAGTGAGTGCAAATGCCAAGAGAGGCAGTCATGATGAACCCATAATGCAACAGTACAAGACATTTCCCATGAAGAGGCTAAGCAATGGTGCTGCTTGTAGACATTTGCTGTTAGCAGTGGAAGGAACTATGTAAACTGAACCTCAATAGCAGTAAATGGCACTAAACACAACACTGAACATCAGGAGCTTGTGTAACCTCTTGTACCCAGAAACGCATGTTTTAAAGTACTAACAGCATAGGTATTAAAAAACGATTTATTGATTTAATTAAAAGTAAAATTATTATTTTTGTTATTACATTTACTTTCAAATGGCAAGGCAGACATGCCTTTTAATAATCGAGAAGTGACAAATTTCCTTAACTGGAAACTATCCTACCGTTCTTTCTGCAAAGCTACAGACCCAAACGGACAGGTTTCAAGGACACAGCATACGTCCAGACACTGTACATCTACAAGATCCACATGAGCTATTGTGCAGCTGTACTCTCTGACCTTGCCAAAGACGGGAATATTTATTTCCCCCCCAGACTTTAATAAACTCTAACGGCTGCCTACATCTTCCTCACAGACATACACTGTATCCTTAGACTTAAAAGAGCTGAAATACCAAGTCACAACCGGGCTTGTTTTACTGAATCCCCCATCAAGTGCCCCACTTTTTTACTAAAACCTTGCTGAATGGGTACACTGACACCTCCCAGGAGCAGAAGGGGCTTAAAATGGGGTGCTCTAGTTCTGCTAAGCCTGTGGAATAAACAAAACCCTCAAAGCATCGTTTTCACCCACAGAACCAGAGACACCTATTAATGAAACCATATCAACATGGCAGACATTCAGAAAAAAATGATGTAGTGTACAAACACCACACAGACCCTTGCCTCTCCGGTACTCCACTCTGCTCTGAAAGACTTTAAAATATATAAAATGCCAAACCATAATATTTTACTTAAAAACAAACAAACAAACAAACAAACAAACAAAAAAGATAAAAAGAAAAGAGGAAAGCGCAAAAATTAATACTCAATATTGATATCCAGGAACAATTAAGAGTATAATACCTTTAAAGGTGCACACATCATCCTCTGATGACTGGAGGTAGTCTAATTAAACTGCTCCTAATTATTTTCTATAAGACCTAGCTCTCAACAAGAATAACTATGAAATGGAAAAAACACAGAGGGAGCGAGTGAGTCCTGGCAGAACAGAGGGAGCCGGCTGCAACAGATGGGGTGGTGGCTAATAGCATGAATCTGGCTTGAATCTGAACCAGTCCCCAGAGAGAGAGGGAGAGGGCAATCCCTGCTCTGGATACAACACCAGACAGACAGAACTGGTTCTTTCTGCAGCCCTGCTGTGCATCTAGTTCACATCTCACTCTTGATCTTAGGACAGAGATTATGGATTTAGTGACATTACCACTGATACTAACCAGCACCAGTGGCTGCAGCACACCTCTGGCACTAGCTTTCAAGCTTATTCCCGTGTGCTTTGTGTAGAAGATTGGTGCTGTTTGAGGGTTTGTTGCAAAACAATTTCACTGGGTGTAGCAAAGTCCCAAAAGGACCAGCAGGAATGACACAAACTTCTGTGTCATCTTTGGCTCTATAGCCCTGAAGCAATGCCGAACAACTACACAGAGCAGCAAGAATAAAGCTGGCATTCACAGAAAGGAGAGTCATACAACAACCAGCCTCTCCCTTTTCTCGGTCTACTCATCTGCTAGCCTTCAGAAACAACTTCAGCTCATGTGAATGCAGTTTAACCCCCCTTTTTTTGTAAGCTATTATGGCTACATTTGTAGTACCACTACAGAAAACCGAGGGCATCAGTAGGTGCCTCATATTTAAGGTTACACCATCTACAATTATATATCCTTGGCATTGCCTCTATTAAATAAAACACTATCATCTTTTATGACCCATGCAATACCAAGAGTAATAGAGGAAATAAAGGAAAGAGTTATAAAAAAAAATGGCCTACGTATATGCTCTTATTACAAATGTATTTTTATGGCAAATGACCGTGATAAAAGACAATATTAATACAGGATTTTAGACCTCAAAAGGGTTTCCATAACAACTAGCGGTTCGGTTTATTGACAGAGCATTTAATAAGCTAACAATGAAAGAAAGCGGGGATAAAATATAACCAAAAACCAAAGTGCATGTTAACGAAACCGATTTTACTGCAGAGCCACTGCTGTGTGAAGCCGGGAAACAGCACACAGCCTTTGGCTAGCCATAAGCTAACGCTAATCTTGCCGTCTACGTTAGTTAGCTAAGCTAACCGGGTTAGCAATCCCGCTAGCTTGGCTAATTATAATTTTGAATTCCCTGTTATAATAAATAATTTAAGAGACTAGGTGGCGCTAGAGTTAATGTTTGTATGCTTGCTAAATTCCAATCAAAGACATTTGTTGTTATCTAATGATAAGAATCTAGAGGTATCGGGAAATATCTTCTGAATGGGCATGCTAACAAAGGTAAGGCGCCCATTCAAAGGCTTAGGCCGTGCTGAAACTCTCCGCCCTGACAACTAATATGAACCTGCAGCTAGCGTTACGCTCTGCAGCCAGAAACAACGGTTGCTATATTCAACAGCAGCGCAGCAACAAAGATCCCCAAACAACTTACACATCGCGACGGGAAAAATAAATAGACAGGGTGAAACTTACCATCGCTGCGTTTTATCTCCACATAGGTACCAACGACTATCTTCCCAAAGCCAGACGCCATTCTACATCACTTAAAAATGAACAAATACAGGACTAGAGACTTATTGTAAGCCGAGTAAAATCAGCTTCTTTGGCAGTCTTTGGTTTGGGAGGAAGATGCAGTCAGTGGCAGCATTACGCATTACGTCAAGAGCATTACGTACCTACCAAGAATAGCAGTTTCTTTCCGGTCAGCTTTTTCAAAATAAAAACGTTATGCGGCTCATAAAAGCATTGCATTTACTACAGTGTTTATAATTGTTATTTCTTTAATCATAGGCTGTTCCTGTAAAATATTGGATTTCCCATTAACGTTAATTGCAAAAACTATTACCTTTACTTGTACATGATCACTTTGGGTGCAAACACACCATAATATATTATAGCTATTATAGGCTGTTGTAATTGACTCCAAAATGAACAGATGTTGTTAAGATTAGTTTCCTCCTAACCAACTCAATGATTTAAAATGTTAGGTAATAATAATAAATGCTCATTTTTCTGTAAAATGAGCACTTACATTGAGCTCATGTTTCAAATATATGATACTAATCTTAAAATGCAATAAAAATACATTTAATGACGTATATAAACATATATGACATGAATAAATAACTGATAATAACTGATAACTAATGCATTTTTTTTTTTGGTATGAACAAAAATCCCTCTATTGTGCAATTTATGCTGCAGTGGATGCAGTATACCACCTGGTGGTACTACTGCTCTAATAGGTCCAGATAAGATGCATCAAGGTTCTCTGACTTCTTCACTACGTACGTAATGTGGAAAAGATGCCAATAATTTACCTACAACATTTATGACGTTTCATGTGTAAACCTCTAGGACTATCACTAGGATATGGAGAGGACCAGCACACCCAACAGTCGTCATTTACAAAAAATGAAAAAATATTACTTGCACTTTGCATAACACTGAAAGTGTAATTTTGGTCTTTAGCAATATTTTACAGGCACAAAAGAAAAGGCCTCAAGACTTTAGCACAGCACTGTATGGGCAAAAACATTTGAACTCAAATGTTAATGAAAAAGAAGCAACAGTAGGTCTAAAGAAATTCACTGTGGCAATAGAAGACAAATCTTTGCTGGGTTGTCTTGTATACTGGTGTAGTACTGTATGTATTAACTATTTTTGTTTTTAAGGGACAGTCATGACTTGGCCCTGCAGTATGCAGATGGTCAAGGCAAAGACACACTGTGACTACTGGGAGTCTGGTGGAGATAGTGTCTATCATTTAGGAAAATGTCATTTGTTGCAAGGCTCAAAGTGGGATATGAAGTCATGCTGCAATAATGCTTGAGGGGAAGCCATTTAAGGTTGAACGTACCATGTGAATGGTCTTTTGAAAATTTTTGAAAGGACTGGTCTTTTAAGCAGGTACAAACCCATTTTAACAGAAATATTAATGATACAAAAAAAGAAGAAACAATAAACTGCTTTCAAACACACTTGCACCCTATCATCCACATCAGACAGTTGCTGGTGAGTTCGGAGGTCAGTGCAAATATAATTAGTATCTCTTTCCCCAACACTAACAACATTATTGATCTTTCCTCTGGTCTGAGTCATGTATCAAAAATGTCTACACAGTTCACAGATGGAGTTTAACACAGTTCTAATACAGAGCATGAAACTGATGTGCTGCACATGGAGTTTATAGTTAGTGCTAGATTTCAATTACATTGAGAAAATGCAATGACATCAAACCATAATACACTATAAATACAAAACTACAATATATGCCCAAAATAGAGAAATTATTTCCAAAAGTATGAATAATTGTGAAATGATATCAATAAAATGCTCGCAGCTGTCTTTTGATATGCATGTCTACTTTAAAATCCAATCCAAAGCAAACTGATTTAAGACTCAAAGCAAAAGGCAGGGAGGCAACGCCAGAGGTTTTATAAAGATGAAGGCCAGACAAGGTAAACATTTGAACACAATGGCCTGCATGAGTTGATCATAACAAAATAAGTAAGCGGAGCCCCACAATACCACTGTGGGAAGCTGAACAATCTGGTGATGTTGGAGAGGACAATCCGGTCTTAAATACTGCAATGGTGATGAGACAACACAGTTGTGTCAATAACCACTGCAGCTGCTGAGACGCATGCTTCTCAAAACCTCAAACCAACCACTGAACCTGGGACAGAGTAGGTGGAGAGAAACAATGAGAGTCACTGGTCTTCAGGACAATGACAACTCTTCTTAAAACATATTTTTATCTTTAGGCGTGTGCGTACTTGCTCTCAATTTTTTCCATGTAATTTGCAGTAATCATAATTTTAGATGTTTTGAATTTCTCAAAGTCTTCACAGATTGTTTTCTTTTTGCGTACTGACTTGTGAAGCCAGAGCGCTTCTTCATTGGAGCGTCACAAAATGGAAAACATCTTGGGACCTCTGTTGGGTGTGTGTGTGTGCTGAGAGGATACCAGTTACAAAAAGTTATAAAACCATCGATGGGACATGCAGCACAGCATTGGACATTTTTGAGAGAATTGCTGAAAACCATTTGAGCGCACATTCAAAGGATGTAAACATACACTCACATTTACACTTGTGAGTCTTTCCACCTTAAACCCTGAACTCTCCCCCTAACCATCAAAACTAATTGCTTGATTCAATATCAAACCTTATGTACGTGCTCTTTCCAGAAGCTACCAGTTTCCACCAG